GCCGCAGCCCGCGCCCGGTAATGAGAGGGTATCCCTCCGGGACCAGCGCCCGGAAACGGCCCGCGCACAATGGAGCCGGCCACACACAGACACACACACACTCACACACAGACACCCCCCCCCACACACACACACACATACATATACATATACACAACCTTCACACCTCGCCAGCGCAGCTCGGGGCCCGGTATCTCCTCCTCAACTGGATCTCGCCACCGCAAACTCACCTGGAAGCAGAGGAATAAGTAGATTTAGAACATGAGAAGAACGGTGTGACTGAACGTGAAGCTAGACGCGGACAGCTGCAGACGTTTTTCAGGGCGGTCCCCGAGCGCTTAATCGGCACATTGTGATTGACAAAGCGCCGAGCTGGGGGGAGGGGGGCGTCCAGGTGTGTCCAGTCCACCAACCACCGCGGGCCGGCGAGCGCTGAGCTTATTGTACTGTTGTTCTAAAAGTATATTGGGGAAAAGTATCGAAGGGAGATAGGAGGGGAGGGACACTGACCGCTCCATGGGAAGCTCACTAGTAAAACCGGGAAAGCAAAACAGTTGCAGCAGCTCTCGTGTTTGTTTGGGGACGGCGCTACGCCACGCCATCTCCTCAGCGCTACCTTCTTCTTGTTCCTCTTATCGAGCAGCTTCCTCATAAGCCGTGCGATTTCTGGGCTCGTCGTCACTTCACAGCGATCCCCTGCCAGTGCAAGACAGCCTCGCTGCGCTCGCTGCTCGCCGTTCTACCGCCAACGCCATGAAGACCATCTCGTTCCTCGTCGTGCTGTCGTGCGCCGGACTCACCCTCGGCGACTGGGGGCAGCTCTTGCAGCCGAAGAAGTTTGAGTGAGTACTAAAGACTTCGCACATTAACCGCACCGGAGCAGTTGCTGCTAGTAAATTTGTAAACATAATGAGACCGTTCTACGGTTGGATTCGGCAAACATCGTCACCACGATGTAGAGGAGTTTTCAACAACCTGATCGTCTCACCAAGTGAATACCAGTGAAAGTGGTACGAAAGACTCTGTGTAAATACCAGGTGGCTGACTCACGTTGCTCACTTTGGTAGCTGTACTGTACCGCATGGATGGGTGCGCGCGGGTTTGCCTATCCTCGCTGCCCACGGCTCCATGGCCCCCGTGCGAGTAGGCAACACGCCTGCATGCGTGCATGCGGTACAGTACAGCTACAAAAGTGAGCGGCGTGAGTCAGCCAATGAAAGTGTGCAAGAAATACATTTTACGTACAACTGTACACTGATACGTTTAAGTTTTGTAATATGCGAGGAAAATGTATTTATAGCACAAAGAAAACCGTTGTTCAGAAATCATTTCTTTATGTACACTATGGCCGTCAAAATTAGCGGTCCACTTTATCGAAATGCTGTAAATATTAGCCCGATTGAGTTAGAAGGTCGCCCTTTGGAGTAGACATGGCCCCTAAAAATTTTTCTCTCTAAGAATTTTTAACTAAAGTGCGTTTGTTAAACTCGCCTCTCTTTCTTCTGTTGCCGTGACCAGCGCTTGCAAGGAGTACGCCGTAGGATTCAACGGACTGGGTCTCTTTGTGCCGCTGCTGGGTAGAGAGGAATACGGAGCACCGAATTCGACGATCACGTTCGCAGGGGGTCCTATCGTCGGCGGCGTCCCCCTACCCTCCGACGGCGTGTTCAGATGCCGCTGCCGGGGCACGTACCAGTTCACGTTCACCGCGCCGTCCACGGTCAAGCTGTGCCTCAAGAGTCGGTACCCGGTCGACAACGAGTGGGACAAGCAGGCGTGCGGCCAGCAGCACACTGTCCTGAAGTACGTGCACGCCGGCGAGGAGGTGGCCGTGTACGTGGAGAGCGGCAACCTGCTCGACGCGGACCGCGATAGCTTCGGCTTCACCGGCTTCCTGGTATATCCCGACTAAAAAATGGTTTCGCCCAAACGAAAATTGTTTCGTATGTGTATCGGATTTGTGCCATATTTTGCCTGCCAAGTACAAATACAGTAGTATTAAAAGAATATCGAACTAAATTAAACGCGGTATACATAATTTCACTCCTCCCCTCAAAAAAACAAAAACAAAACAAACCTAACAGCTTCAGCTTCTCCGGAACTATTTTGGTTAGCTTTCCAGACAGCCCGCGTAACACGATGTCTACACGGTTTCTCTCTCTGGTGTTTTGTAGGTTTGATCCGAGGTTTGATCTGCTTTCAATCACACTCCAGTCTTGAAAAAGAAAACACAGCCTCGCTGTCTTGTCCCACACTGGCCGCGAGTCACGGGCCTACCTGCTGCCATTACAGCTCACGTTTACAGCCTCCTCTGTCCTGTCGGACGCACTTCTCTACCTGGACCGGTGGGGGCGAGGCGAGCCGTTGGGCTGCCATATAAACCCCAGAGCGCCACTCACGCCCCGTCGTCAGGTCAGCCTAAAACTAAACTGCCGCCGAGCGACGACGTTTTTACACAACGCTTTCAAATAAAACGCTGTTCTTCGCCCTGCCGCCGCCGCCGGCCATCGCCACGACCTTTCGAAAAGTCGATTAGCCCGCCAGGCCAGGCCGGGGCTCGGAGGCGGCTGCTCATCAGCGGACGAGTTACGACGGGACCAGGACCTGTCGCTACCTCCGGATTAACATTTTAAGTAGGTTTCCGCCGAGAAAGGAAATAAGGCAGAGATAGGGCAGCCCGGGGCCAGCCAGGCGCAGGGCGAGCGGAGTGCGTACTACTGTACCGCCGTGGTCCGGTCTGCTGAACAACTGAACAGCACGGGGGCCCAAATAGTGGAGCAGGCGTGCTGCTGATAAGATTAGGCCGCCGTAGGCCGCGCCCCGAGGTGCAGCCGACAACGAGTCCGCCGAGGTCCGAGGCGCTGAGTCAACAGCTTCACCCCCGTTCGGCTCTTTGGGCTGCTGGAGCTGCCGTGCATCAGACGGGAAGAGCAGTCCGTCCGCGGCAAGCACATGTCTCGCCTGGGCGCCCGCGCAGTCAATGCG